ACTCTCCAGATTTCCGCCTCCAAATCCCAATGCTTTCTTTTCTCCCATCCCCTTCCCCTCTTGCCCCTACCTCCTCCAGGAAGCTCTCCCTGTCTGACTCTTCCACACCCACACACATTAACCCCCCACAATTCTAGTCACTCAATTATTCCTTCCACACGTAAAGGTCCAACTAGATGTTAACTACATTATTCCTTATACCTTTCATGCCCATTTTTACAAAGCAAACTGAGGGTCCCGGGGTAGCCTCTCACCTGTAGTTAGGTAAAGCACATGATAGGTCTCCCCGTGGCTGGCTTGCATGCGGTGGACGACCACTTTCTGGTAGTGGTATTTAGAGTGGAACAATGGCGTCTTCAGGGGCCCCATAGGCTCCACCCTCTGCGCCACCTCTGGGTGACGGTCAGCCACCTGGAAGGTCTCTGTGGGTATCGGCTGCTGGTCTGGGAGGCACTGGGCAAGGAGAGCAGGCCCAGGTCAGTGGGGTGGTGGGAGGTGAGACAGAAGGAGGGCTGGGGCCTGGGCCACGGCTGGTGTCACGCTCACCTTGCCAGGCCGAGGGTTGGGAAGGCTTGAGTGGTAGCCCTTGAGTGAGGAGGTGCGGAAGACCTTGTCAATATCACCGAGGGAATACACGCAGACCGCTGAGTAGTTCCTGCAGTGACATGGAGACCAGCTCAATGGGGGGCCCAGAACCCACCCATCCACCTCTACTCTCCCAGGCCAGCTCCGTGCCTGGCACTGAGTTACCAAACACCCCTGAAAATGGGGAGGGATGGCGGGGAGGAAGGAGAGGAGTTCAGCCTAATTTCTTTGTGCTGCAATCTAAAACCACAACCTTGTATCCTGTTACAGAATCACTGAGTCTAGAGGCCATCTGCTCTACCCGACCCCAAGGCAGGAGGAACCCCAACATGGGCTGAGCAGTTCTCTAACCCTCCCTGGGCACAGGCTGTGGGATGCTGATGCCCCAGGAGGCCAGACCTCCAACCTCTTCCCAGCCGGGGCAGCCCCACCCACCCAGGAGCCACAGAGCAGGGTCTTGGCTTCCTCCACTCTGTCCCTAACTCTCCCCCCACACACCCAACACTTTTGCCTGCTGTGTTTTCAATCAATGAGAATGATTAAGAAGTGTGAATTACCAGGCTCAGGCAGTGCCTGAGCGGGTGTAATAGCACCCAGCTCCCCAAGAGATGCTTCAGCAGCTTCCTCCCAGGCCCAGCGTCCACTCTGGGCACACACAGGTGGCGGGACACACAGGCACAAGTGCAGTCATGAGTGTACATATAGGGCATGCACACACACCCATGAGTGCAGACTCACTCACGACGGTACACACATTGCACTGGCTGTCCCCCTACCCCACACGCAGCAACAGCCTCACTTCTTGAGCCTGCAGCCCCTGCTCATGCCACACCAGGCAGGCCCTCAGCAGGGCCCAAGGCCTCCTGTCCCTACTGGACACTGAACCAATGCCAGCCCCGGCCCCAGGACAAGGGCCACTCACCATGGGTTGGAGAAAACACCATAGACCCTGGTGTCTCTCCACTGGCCGCTGGGGTCAGGGAGCAGGAAGACGTCTTGTAGCCTGTTGAAGTTCTTGTTGGTGGCAGCGTCACTGCATACCAGCATGGCTTTCAGAAAAGTGTTCCACTTGGACACTGACAGTGAGCTTTCCCCACCCTGGTCCCCCTGGAAAGGTAGAGGTGAGAAGAGGCCCCTCAGCACCTGCCCGGGCTTCCCCACACCCTCCAGGAAACCACTGCCAGCAATATCAGCACCTGGGCCCAGAGGAGAAGGCAGGCTGTGAAGGGCCGGGACCTGCCAGGGGTGCCCCAGGACTCAGGGCAGGTCTCCAGATGAGACTCCAGTCAGCAGGCCTGGCTGAGCCAGAGCCCAGGACCAACGGTGCTCGGGGTCAGGGCAGGTGAGAGTGCCAGGTCCCCACAGAGCAGATGGACTCAGACACACATTTACTGACTCACACACCCACACACATGGCACAGCACACTCACACAGGCAAAACACACACACACCCACACCATCATACTCTCACATGCTCACATGCCATCATATGTGCACAGGAGCTCAGCCACCTTTACCCACACACAGACGCGTGACGCTCCATGTACACACAGCTACTCCCACAGTCCCAGACAGACCCACTCCTACATCCGCACAACTTCTACATGCACACAGACACACAGAACTCACCCTCACTCAGACCTATTCACACACAGATATGCAGCCAGCAGCCCTCACGCCCCTGCTCACCCTGCACAGCTGGGCCACACGGGACACATTGAGAGGAGCCTCAGGATTCTTGTCAGGATTGTCCTCTCGGAAGAAGTAGTAGATCTTGTCATCGTAAGCCTGGTCTTGGTGCACGATGGTGGCTTTGATGAACTGTGGGTCTGCCAGGGACAGAGGCGAGTGGGCGTAAAGCTGGGAAGCTTGCCTGGGAGACCACCCCAACCCTGCACACTCTCCTCTCTCCTTCGGGTCTGCACAAACCATGGCAAATCAGATCTGGAAGAGGACTCAGAACATCAGGTCCAATACCCCCAGGGGCCCTAGGCTCTGCACCTCCACCCCACACCTGTTTTGCCCTCCTCCTACAAAGATGTCATCAGCCCAGGAGCAATGATTTCATGCCTGGGGATTGAGGGAAGGTCCCTGGGGGCCCCTACGTCACTTATGCCCAACTGGCAGAGCCCTAATGAGGAGGGAGTTGGGGGCTGCCTCCACATGAACTCAGCAGAGGATAAACTTTGGTTCCTGGGGACCCTGCGCTGGGTCTGGGGCTCCCTCTGTTTGTGTTCCCAAAGAGGGCTGGGCCCATCCCACCGCTACACCTTGTCTGTTCCTCTGCCCCCAGCCAACCCTAACTCCTCAGGCCTGTACCAAGGTCCTGCTTTCCTGCATGGCCCCAGCGGCCCTCAGGGAGCCCTCCCAGAAACATCAGGCTCCCATCTGCCACCTTAGGTGCTCACACCCCCTGGTCCACCCTCAGCCCAGTCAGAGCCTGACTCACTCTGCATGACAGTATCACTGGTGTACAGCTCACTCTCGCCCCGGATGCGGCGGAACCGAGGGATCTTCCCATTGTATTCCTGCTTCCGGATGGTGGAATACACCTCGTCCCCTGGGGATGGTGGGAGGGGGGCATGAGTAAGGGCAGGCAGCTCCTGGAAGTCCCTCCTCCAGACACTGGACAAGGAGCTGACCACCCCTCTCCCAGCCCAGTTCAGAAGCTTCCCCCTGGGGCGCCTGTTCCAGCACTGCCCTACCTTCAAACAGAACCAGGGAGTTCTCATCCGGGCTGAAGGGGGCATAGCCTCTCATCTCGCCAAGTGGCACCACAGTGTCATTCACCTGTGGGAGATCCAGAGGGTTGGATGGTCACGTAATCCCACGGCCACTGCCTCCCATGATGGCCAGTTTCTCGGCCAGGGGCCCAATCCTCCCAGGGCAAGGGCAGCATTGGAGTCTCGCCATCTCCTTCCCACTTTGAGGGGCAGAAGCCCACCCAGTAGAAGGCGAGCTAATCAGGCACATGGGGAGCAGCCTTCTCACCAGGTTCCAGCAGCTGGGGTGCCGGGCATTGGTGCCACAGGCCAGCAGCCCCTCACTCCGCCTCTCCAGGAGAGTGATGTAGTTCTCGCAGTCCTGCCCGGGTAAGAGAGAAGGGAGGAGAGAAATTGGTTGCTGGAAGGCCCTGGCAGGTCTAGCACTAGGACCCCCAGGATCAGGGAAGAAGGTGTCGGAAGGGTTGAGCATAGGTGACAGCCTCCCAGGACAGCCCAGAGTGGGTGCAGCTGATGCCATCCCCTAAGCACAGAGGACCACGTCTCCCCATCAGTCTGGGTCTCACAGGGCAGGGCCATGCTTCCTTCCTCAGACCCACAGGGTCTCCTCTCCCTTTACCAAGTGGCTCAGATCCCTCCATACTCCTTCCCCGACTCACCCGCTTATCCAGACAGGACCCCTTTGTGGAGCCAATGTTCACCTGGGGGAAGGGGAGAAGCATTAGTTCACTCTGCCAGGAGTGAGATGCCCCCGAAATGCTTTCCACACAGCCTCAGGATAAGCCCCAAAGGAAGCAACCATTATTCTCATCTGACAGATGAGCAACTGGGGCTCTGAGAGGGTAAGTGATCTACCTGAGGTCAAACAGGGTCTCATATCCGGAGCTGAGGCCCAGAGGGTTCAGAAGACCAGCCATGGGCTCTGGGGCCCAGCTTCCAGCCTGGGCTTTCTGCAGCAGCGCTGCCCAGCTGGCCAGGCCCATTAGCTCCTGTTTTTCTCCACACCGCCCCAGCTCCCCACTCCAATCTGGACTACCTTTAGGGAGCCTCCCCCAGGAGCCATTTATAGGATACGGAGGTGGGGGCAGTTTAGGAAGAGATGCCAGCTCCCACGGATTCCCTGAGGCCCCTCGGCAGGGCTAGAGGGGAGATACGAGGGTGGTGGGGCATTGGGGGAGAGAGGCTCACCGTGCGCACAGATGCGTTCTTGCCCTCGGGGAAATCAAAGAGGTAGACCTTGCCGCGTCCTCCCACCCACACGGAGGAGCTGCCTGGCTCATGGAAAAGCACCGTGTGCGGCTCAGTCTGGCCAAAGTCCACCCGGTCCTGCCCTACATGGCCTGAGGAGGAGACAATTAGTAGAAACATTGAAGCCAGGTCCCAAGAGAGAAGACTCTGGGTCCCCTCCACATGGCACACCGGAACCTGCTTGACAACCAGTGCTTTGTGCTCAGCGTCCTGGCAGGGCCTCAGACAAGCTCTGGGCTGGGGTGGCACCCAGACGCAGAGAGCCAAGGACAGGAGAAGTAAGAGATCCTCTGGTGGGCTCCAGCAACCAGCTGTCCTTACCTACAGCACGGCCCCTCCCCTAGTGTGGCAGCCTCTCCTTCCTTCACAGTGTGTGTGACTTCAGAATGGGGCAGGATTTAGGGACCTCTTGGGGGAACAGACCCCCTCCTCTGGCACACACTCTTGAGGGGCTGGGCTCCGGCAGGAGGACCAGGGCTCCTTGGCTATGCTCTGGGAGGCTTTCTGTTGCCCTAAGCCAAAGCAAGTGGTGCCCCCCGACCCCAGGCCTTTCAGCAGGCAGCAGGGCCTCCAAGCACCCCCCTTGGAGTCCAGGTTCCGAGGAATCACAATGCTCAGAATCCCTTCTCCTCCTTCAGGAATCCCTCTCCAACCCCTCCTGGTCCCTCCCCAGCCCCTTAGTGAGCACTAGACTAAAGGAGGAAAGGAACCTCAACATCTACTCCCTCCCATTTCACAGATGGGAAAACAGAGGCCAAGGGAGGGGCAGCCCAAGGGCACATGGAAGCAGGTCAGTAGCAGATTCTGAACCAGAGCCTATACTCCTGCCTACCAAGCTGGACTCTGCACCATGGCCCACTCTGGCCTGGTTTCACCCACGGAGATGTTAGCTCTCCTGGGGGTAAAGATCAGCTCTCCCTCCCCAGCAACTCTGGGACAGGGGGACCTTCACAGAGCACAGCCTGGGCCTTTCAGCAGAAGGGCTGACTGGAAATATTTTCCCCAAAAAAGAAACTGACTGCAGCCACTGTCTCTGGGGAGATGTCTCATCTCCAGTGACACTACTGAGGTTGTCCTGGTTGTAGGAGTAAATTATAGGGATGGGATGGCCTGTGGCTGTGCCCCCAGCAATCAGCCACAGCCAGCATCTTCCCCTCTGACCAGCCGGGGCCTCACCCAGGAACTGGGTCTGACCACTGTTTTTCCAGTTGCAGGAAACTCTGGGGCAGCCAGCTTGGCAGTGACACCCAAGCTCCAGTTCTGACCAAAAAAAACTACCATTTCCTCAACTCTGCCCCCGATCCCTCTGACTCCCATTGGAGCCATATTGATTCTGCATTAACGGGGGTATGGAGCAGCTGGACCACACACGGTGCAACCACACCTTCATTCTTTAAGAAACATCCCTTCACGGTCAGGTCACCCCTGGAAGTGAGCATTCTTCACCTCTTCTGTGGCCTGGTGCACTGTGCAGAGGAGAATGCTGAGGTACCCTGGGAGACATGCCAAGGTCACATCAGCAGGCAGGACAGATCAGCTTGTCCAAAGGTGGAGTATCAGCTCTCAGGAGCAAGGCAGGCCACAGAAATGCTGAGCTCACTGTCCTTGGGTGGTGTAGTTCTCCTGGTGCACTTCATAAACAGCCCAACTGAACAGCTCCGGGGATATCAGCCCTCCCTGGCCCCCAAGCCTCCCTCCCTGTAGGCCCCAGATGTGCAGAGCAAGGGCTGAAAGGTACTGGCACTTCAGTGGGAGGGAGGGAGGGAAAACTGGCAGGTCTTGGGTGCTGCCCTGCTCCCCCTACCTTCCTGGGATAGAATTAGAGTGCTGGGGTCACAGACACAGTATTCCCGACTCAGCTCCCATGACTCCCCTTCCACCCGCAGCCCAAGCCGCAGCCACCATCCCCTATGGCCCAGCCTGGAATCCAGACAGTCTGCAGCCCCAACTCCCCTCCCACTCCCCTCCCATCCCCCAATAGCCAGCCTGGCAGCCACGAAAAGGTGCATGTCTGCATCTGGAGATGCTGGGCTAGGACCCGAGATCCATAGCCCCTGGGAGTCAAAGCAGAAAAGTCCCAGCCGTCAGACTGTGCTAGCCACCTCCATCAGTCACCTTAGCCCCACACCTGCACCAAGGCCACAGGCCCAGGTCTCCAAGGGAGCCAGCAAGGCCAATTTGGTACAACTACTCAAGGGGAAAGAGGCACCAGATAGGACCCTGGGCTGGGGGGTGGTGCCTCATCTAGGAGTTGCAGGGCTGTTGAAGAGAAGAGGAAAGCAGTCCTGCCCTAGGGAGTCGAGCCTGACGAGCCTGACGGCCCCGGAGAGTAAGGTCTGAGGGGGAGCCTGGCCCTACTCTGGGAACACATCTGAGGGGTCAGACAGCCGCACCACAGAAAGCTTCCACAGCTCCCCAGCAAAATTGTCTTAGCATGGACCACAGGGCTGCCCACAAAGTATCTGCTGAAGACATGAAGGGAGGGTGAGGGCTGCTGGCCCCTGGGTAGGAGCTGCGGCACTAGGGCCAGGACAATCCCATGCGGATCTGCAAGCTTGAGCCCAGTTCCCTTCAAACCCTAGCCACAATGGCTAGGGCGGAGGAAGGCAGGGACTGTTCGTCCCATTTTGCAGGAAAACGAACAGGAGCCCAGGAGCACGGCCTCCCGTGACCCCCAGGTTCCTGCCCCTCCCAGCTCACTTCTTGGTGATGCATATGGGCTAGAGGGAATGACACCAGCTCAGCCCCAGGACAAGGCCTTGGCCCATTCTCCACCCCAGCCCCGGCCTGGGTTCCCGCACCGCCCGAGGCCCTCAAAAGGCCTGATTGTGCCCGGGAAGTGTCGAGCAGCAGCAGCTCGATGAATACATGAAAGGAAGCTTTGTTTAGGTTGGCAGGAGCGGGGGCTGGGGGCTCAGGGGCAGGAGGGCTGCCTGGAAGTGAAGGCAGCACCAAGCCATCAGGGCCAGGCCTCGAGTGTCTGCGCAGGCAGGGGCTGAGCAAGGCCAGGGGCTGCCCCTAAAAAGGCCAGGCCAAGGGAGTACGTGTCATATCCCTGAACATTTTCTTTTTGCTGCTTTATGAACTCAAAGAGAGAGGAGAGGTAGATAAAAGCTGGATGGGCCCAGAACAGGCAGGGAGGGAATGCCAGGCAGGGGACACAGACTGAGCAAAGGTAGGGAAGGTGGCTGTACAGAGGGCAGAGGCCATGCGCTGCAGCCTGGCACAGTCCTAATGAGAGAAGAATCAGGAAGGTGAGCTGAGGCCCACGTGTGATGGGGGAGGGAAGATGCAGCCTGTCCAAGGACACACTGACCCACTGCCCATCACTCTCCCCTGCTGCCTGAACTCTACGAGCAGGGCCAGGAGTGGAAAATGCCTCCCCATCCTCTGGCGTCCCCCACCTCCTGGCTCCCCCTGCTTCCCATCCTGCCTGTCTAAAAGGAGCACCGTCTGGCACCGTGTCTCCCCCCTCACTACCCAGCCTGACGCATTAGTGGCTGACTAAGTGGTAGCTAAAAGCTCCCAGAATAACCAGGGGTTCAGGCAGGGGAGGGGGCTAGGGACACATGGGGAGGGCATAGCCCAGAGGCAAGCCAGGCACAAGACAACCCACCCCCCACCCCATGTGATTCCGAGCCAATCCTCGCTCCTGCTGGACCAAGAAAGCACATTCAGGCTGCCCCGTACCCAGCCGGACTCCATAGTTCCCCTGAGTCCCATTTCTCATGGTGGCAGGACCAGCAAGGCCCAGCTCCAGTCAGATAGGCGGGCTGCAAGGAAGGCTGGGTTATAGGAGATAACCTCCACCAGACACAGCCCTGGGGCCAGGTGCTCACAGGGCTCTGATCCCATTGGAAAGAATGTGGCCTGACTCCTTGGGGCCCCTACCCTTGATCACCACCCCAGCAGCTGACCGACTGTGGCAAGTCTGGGCCTCTGGGGTGCGTTTCCTAAAGCAGGCCTGCCTGGTGGCGCACGCTTCCTCTTCTCATTCACTCTGGTGCTGTCACCGTCTGGCCCGCTGTCCCCATACTCTTGTTGTTTGTGAAAGAGGAGTGCAGCTCCAGGGGAGGGCAGAGTGGGAGGTGGTGTTGCCCATGAAGGGGCTGGGTCCCATGCTCTAGTCTGGCAAAGCCAGCCTTGCAACCTGACCCACTGACCCAGTGGGCCTTGAATGCTAACCTCAAGGAGCCCTTTGAAAGTGGGCAGAGAGTCAGGCTCTGAAAATGGCAGGAATGTGGGCACCCCCCCGGAGAATGCCTAAGTCAGGCAGTCAGAGAGGCCCCGGGCCAAGGAGCAGAAAGCAGGCCGACCTCAGGTCGGAGAGCCAGCACATCTGGCAGGAGCCTCCTCCCACAGTTGTGCCCCCACCCCTGCACTGCCAGGCCTACCTCACACCCTTGCCCAACCACATGCCTGGCAAACAGAGTAGAGGGAAGGCCCACATGATGCCCAGGAATTAGCCTGCAGCCTCCCCACCTTTTGGAATCCCACATCCACATGTCAAGGTGGAAGGGAGAGGATCTGAACAGTCATTGAACTGAAGGACGTGGAGGCCAGAGAGGCTGTACCACTGGCCCAAGGACACAGAGCGAGGGAAGCTCCAAGTTTCCAGTACCCATTACCCAGCTGCTTCTCTCCAGGATCACATCCTGGGCTTCCTGGAGAGCCTCTGATTTGCAAAAAGCTGTATATTCAGCCTCTCCCTACTTCCCTGAATCATCCCTACTCTACCCTTCCCTCTCTTGCTCACTAGGTGCCGAGTCACTAACCTGATAACTAAAGGGAATCACCCGCCCACCCACCTTCCAGGTGAGGCCCTGATCTCCCAGGGGCCTTTAGTGATCAAAGCCTTAAATCCAAAGGAGTGACTAATGGTGGAAGTGTAGGTGCTGTGCATGTCAGAGTGGTAGAGGAAACCCTTCCACTAGGGGTGGGAGTACAGGAACAAACGTTTCTATCTCTCCTGATATGGCCAGGAAGAGGGTGTGAGAAGCCTGGTTTCCAGGGTGGCACTGGCTTGGTGCTAAGGACAGGTCATGGCTGCAGGTGGGTCCTGGCAAAATTCAGGCAGGGTTAGGTTCTAGATTAGCTAGCTGCCTGGCAGGAGTAGAGCCTGTGTGCTGGGGCAGGTGGTGGGGCCTCGAGATAGCACTCAGCTCATGGAGGAGTGAGTAGTCTACCTTCTTTATGAGCCATGAGAAGAGCGCGCTGTGTGCTGGGCCAAAGGGGAGTATCCTCCCACCCACCAAGGTCAGCTGTGGGTGGGAGGGGAGTATATCTCATGTGTGGCTCAGCCCTGACTCCAAGAAGTCTCATCATCTCTTTGGTGGCCGGACAGCTGGCTGGCTGTGACGGTGACTGAGGCTGGGCCTTCCTGGGTTCACTTTCCTCCTCTGTGGTTTAGCTGGGTGTGAGTTGGGGTAGATGCTGGTACTTGTTTGGGCCTGGGTTTTACAACCCACCAGGATTCTTGAAACAAATCACAAAACAATCAGGGTTAAGTCCATGGGTCTTTCTGGGAAAGTGTGACTCTCTGAGTGCCACAGAAGTCAGACAGTTTTCTGGAAGTGGAGGCGGCAGAAAAAACTGACACTCTCATCTGCTTCCACTGACCAGCCCACCAAACCCCCAGCCACCCTGTAAAGAAGGCAGGACAACCTGTATTGCCGTTTTACAAACAGGAAAACTAACGCCCTTCCAAGCCACCAAGGTCTGGATGCTCTCCCCACGGCACCACTGTGCTCAAAGGACCAGAAGAAGGTTTGGCTATTGGGGAGACTGTCTGGGGCAAAGTCCTGGGGAGAAGGGTCAGTGTGGAAAGCAGTGTGATGAGGGGCTGTGCTGGGCAGGATTCAAGGACTCAGGGAAGGAAGGCCGGTAAGGAGGCCCTGAGCCCAAGCCCAGGGAAGGCCGGAAGCCCAGGACAAACACTATGTCCTGTCCACCTTCCGGCTGTTCTCCAGCCCATCAGGTTCCAAAAGCCCCAGAGTGGGGCCGAAGTCAGCTGGTGGCTCCTTCAAAGCAGACAATGGGTAGCGGTGCAGGGCCTGCCCCTGGGCCCAGAGCCAAGGCAGGGGTGGGGGAGAGGGCAGAGGATGGCTACACCACCCCAAGTGGAGGGAGGGAGGCAGGTGGAAGACTGTTGAGAAACAGAAGGTTACCCAGTCTTAGCCTTAGCCTGAACCAGCAGGGGAGACCGAGCAAGGGCAGCCAGCCAGCAAAGCCCATTAGGGAGAACTGGCAGGGGCTGGGCTGCCAGGGCTGCATTCCATCAGAAACCAGAGATGCCAGAGGAGGAGGAGGAAGATGATGACGACGATGATGATGGCCCTACCACCCAACCCTTCCATCGCATTTACTACGTGTCAAGCACTATTCCAAACAAGTTTTAACTCAATCATCACTGAACTCTCATGAAGTAGGTTCTTTTATTATCCCCATTTTGCAGATGAGGACCGTGAGACACAAAGAAGCTGAGTAACTTACCTAGCATTACACAGCTAGTAAGAGGTGGAGCAGAGGTTCATACTCAGGCAAGCTGACTCCAGAATCTGTGTTTATAACATTGTATTCCAGAGACGGGCCCGTGGAGGCTTCCAGGCCAGCCATTCCCAGACAGATGAGGAGACCAAGGCCCACAGAGGATGAAGCCCAGTTAGAGGCTACTTGGCCAATGAAGGCCTGACCTCTGCCCATAACACCCTGAAGACAGTGTGTAAGTGAGCACGGGTTTGCAGGCCCAGGTGAGTGTAGTGAATTCCTATGCTTTGATGTTGTCCTGGCATCCGTTTTGAATATAATCTGGGCTTTCTTACACCAGAAGCAGGGCTGTCACCCTTGACACCGTTTCCAGCTCCCTGCCCCCTCCCGGTTCCTCAATGTGCTCAATCCAGATATCTACCATAGACAGTCATCTCCTGGTGACTGCCTCCCTGTGGGACAGCTACATACAGCCCATTTAACTGGTCCCGCTGACCCCACAGCCCGCATGGACTGTGCAGACAGGCCAGTGACCTTGTCTCAGTCACAACATGACCTCCTGGAACTCATGACTGCTTGCTGTAAACTCACCAATTAAAACTCCCTGTGGAGGCCAGGCACGGTGGCTCACGTCTGTAATCCCAGCGTTTTGGGAGGCTGAGGCGGGCAGATCATTTGAGGTCAGGAGTTCTAGACCAGCCTGGCCAACATGGTGAAACCCCGTCTCTACCAAAAATATAAAAAAATTAGCCAGACGTGGTGGTGTGCACCTGTAGTTCCAGCTACTTGGGAGGCTGAGGCAGGAGAATTGCTTGAACCTAGGAGGCAGAGGTTGTAGTGAGCTGAGATCGCGCCACTGCACTCCAGCCTGGGTGACAGAGCGAGACTCCATCTCCAAAAAACAACAACAACAACAACAAAACAAACTCCCTGTGAAAAACTTGTTTGAATAACACCTTGGACCCCATAAAGATGCTGGCCCATGGATCCCTCCACCCTGCATGTGCTCCCTGACCTCCACGTGTGTGGCCTCAGGTATGCCAGGTATCCCTCAAGACCTGTTAGTAACAAAATCTTTATTTCCACCTGTCTCTCTCTTAATCATGGAAGGAGTGCTCTCCATCTTAAAGATCCTAAGTTACAACAGTGGGGCAGGAATCTTCTCATGGTGCAGCGTGGGGCCCTGGTCCTGAGTGACTGAGTAGGAAGACAAGTCTCTCAAGATCTCTGCTCAGAACATAAAGTACTCTGTGGGGCCGGGCGCCATGGCTCATGCCTGTTATCCCAGCACTTTAGGAGGCCAAGGCAGAAGGATCACGTGTGTCCAGGAGTTCGAGGCTGCAGAGAGCTATGATTGCACCACTGCTCTCCACCTGGGAGACAGTGAGATCTTGTCTCAAAAAAAAAAAAAAAAAAAAGTACTGCATGCTCTGAAGCTGACCACAGTGAAGAGCAGAGTGTGCTCACCAGCCAGGTCCCCACCCAGCCAGCCCTGGCCAAAACACTCACCTCCGCTCCTCAGCTCAAGGACCCACCATGGCTCCTATCTGCCCATCCAAGCAGGGCCCAAAACCTCAGGGCAGGGCAGTCAAGGCCCACCTCATTTCTGCACAGCTCTGCCATGGCTCATTCCCATCTCTGCACTTTGCTCCTGTTCTCCATTCCCTGGATTGACCTTTCCCCTTTTCTCTGTGCACATGGATCTTACCTGTCCTTGAAAATCTAGCTAAATCCCTTGGATCCAGGAAGTATTCCAGATTCACTGCCCGTACCTTCAACCTTGTACCACAAACCATCTGGCACTACCATTTTCACTCAGATCATGCTGTCTAATGGGATTTCATCTGGCCTGTGGGGTCCTGAAGGTGAGGACAAGGCTTCCTCTTGCTCTATGTCTTCCATTGCCAGGGAGCAGCTCAGACAATGAAGAAAGGCAAGACTGGGGCAGGCCAAACTCCCATGCGAGAGGGACAGGTATCCTAGAACAGATGCCTGGGTCACCAATGGGGTGCAGAAGTCATCACAGTGACCTTCCTTCCTTGACAGGCTGGGCCAGAGCTCCTGCCTCAGCCTCCCAAGTAGCTGGGATTACAGACGTGTGCCACCACATCCAGCTAATTTTTTTGTATTTTTAGTAGAGACGGGGTTTCACCATGTTGGCCAGGCTGGTCTCGAACTCCTGACCTCAAATGATCTGCCTGCCTCGGCCTCCCAAAATGCTGGGATTACAGGCGTGAGACTCTGTACAAACAACAATATGAATAGTTGTCTGTGCTGTACTCTGCCCCCACTCTATGCCCTTGCCCCTAGCTCTAGCCTGGCTCCTCCTCCTCCCCCAGGAAGCCTTCCTTGATTACACCATCCCACACTGACCTTTCCTGCTCTCACCTCCTGTCACAGTCCTAGGCTACATCTGCAGGTCATTCCTGACTTTCCCAAGGGTCCACCCTACTTCACAGGCAGAAGACCCACCTCTCCAGGAATGTGGGGGGCTCCCCAAGGGCAAACCCAGGGCTTCTCTTCCTGACTCTCCCCCAGAGGAGCTGAACACAGACCTAGGCCTGCTGCCCTCCATGATGAGAAGTTACCCAGGGGTGCTGGCACAGAGCCCAAGCCTCTGGCTGGAAGCATGGGGTGCAGAAGGCATGGCAGGATCAGCCTAATCCCAGGCTGTCATGACAGTTAAAACCAGATTAGCCCGAGCCGGGACACAGATCAACCTGTCCTTGGCACCCAAGGCCCAGACCACCTGAGGAAAGACCAGAAGGGGTATATGGAGCTGGTCCAAATTCAAGGTCCTGAAGAGAGGGCACTGATGGCTGGTGCGGCTCCTAGAACAGATAGCACTGGGGCAGGAAGAGTCTGAGCTCAGCTGAGCTAGCTGAGGAAAAAAGGCACTCAAGGAGCCCCCAGCCTGCGACAGAGTATGACGGCGGACAGAAAGCTGGAAACAGGCTGAGAGTTGGGGCAGAAACAGGCTCAGAAGACTCAGCCCCGGTCCCAGCTCTGCCTGTCTCATTGGGTGACCTCGGGCCAGTCCCTGTCATCTCTGAGCCTCAGTTTCTCCATCTGTGGAATGTTCGGCTGGCCTAGCTAATCTCTGGCATTTCTTTTCTGACATCCTAAGCTAGCGCTGTCAGGCTGTGTGGGTTGGGGTCATCCAAGAAGGTCCCTCAGAAGAACTGAGAAAGAACCAGCAACCTCCTTTCTGGGCAGAGCAGAAAGGAGGAGGTAAGTGGGGTACAGAGAGGAGTGGGGTGCAGAGAGGAATGGGGGAGCCAGGGAGCAGTGAGGGAAGAACCATGGGAGTCCAGGAGGCAGTGGGGCCAGGCCACCATGCAGGGCCTGGGGAAGGCGGCAGCTGTGTGCCGTGTGTTCCAGATGGGATGCAGCATAGGGACGGAGGTCCTCCAGGAGGCTGGGCACAGTTCTGGAGACACAGTAAGGCCAGGGCCAGGGAGAGTAAAGGGCTTGGAGAGCCACCCCATACCATTCGGGGCAGAGAGGGGACGGTCCCTCGAGGCCTGGCTGGCTAGGGAAGGGGGAACTCTGTCCTCTGAGGAGGCAGGGCCCAACAAGACGCCGGGGCTCTCCATTCCCTGGCTTTCTTTCTAGCCTGTCTGGCTCCCTGAGGACAGGACAGCTGGCCATACACCTAGTGGCTGGCCCTTCCTGCAAGGGTACGGAACCCTGGCTCTTCTGAAGGCAGGACAGGTTAAGGGCCCCTTCCTCCCCCAACTATGGACGAAGGAAGGCTCCCGGGGCAGCCATGCTGGGCCAAAAAAGGAAATCAAGAGAAGTGGAAACTTTTCAGTGCAGAGCTGCCGACCAAAGCGGGGGAAGTGCAGTCTGTCTCTTGTGACAGAGCCCTGTGAAGCTGGGGGTGGACAGGCCGTCAGCTAGTGGTCCATGCACTCCCGCTACTGCCCCTGAGGGCTGCCAGACCTGCCCCCTGGGTTGAACTTCACATCCCACCTTGCCTGGCCCTCCTCAAAACACAGAGCCCAGCTTTCCCTGCTTCCCTCAGGGCCCCACCTTCAGCCCAGATAGTGATCTATCCACGCCACCCCCACCCCACCACCTCCATGCTCCTTCCATCTCTGCAGAGGAAGAGCAGGAGAAGACAGAGCTGAGGGACAGACCTTCTCACCTGGAGACTGTCCTGTGGTCAGGAGTCAATGTGGAAAGCCATGGTCTCCCTGGACCCAGCCCCAGCCTCCCACCAGGGAGCTGTGACGGGGCTATGGCCTTGCCAGCACTCGAGAGGCCTTCCCTGCCTGCCACGGCCTTTCTCCAGTGGATGCAGCCTTCCTCCCCACTGCTGGGCCAGCCATAGGATGACAGGTATCCCCTCACCTATGCCCAGCTGGACAAGTTTCAAACTTTTCGGAAGCCCCCAGGCCCAGGCTGACTCAATACCTCCTCATATGGGGGCCCCTCACATGGCTTCTCTCCTCTCTGTGGTCCTTGCTGTAAATTCTTGGGTTTAAAATACTATTAAGTGGGGTGCTTCCTCCTGTTCCTTCCCTCCCCCAGCTGATTCACTCCTCCTGCCATTTCAGCTTGCTACCTCTTCCGGGAAGCCCTCCCTGATTGGGAAAATTGGGTTAGACATCTCCTCAGTGCCCATAGCTGCTCTCTGTTACACATTCTGTTGTACCTGCAGGTTTATCTGCCCATCTCCATCTACACTGAAAAGTCTCCAAGGGCATAGAATCATCTTGTTCCATGATCCCCAAGCTCAGCCTCAAGACCAGCACAAGGTTGGCCCCAGCAAATGTTTGCTGAGTGAATATGTCCACCCGTGAGGGCACAAGCTAATGAGCTATTTCCTCCAAATGATCCTCAGCCTTTGGCCCATGAGAGAATAAGGAAAGAACATGAAACTTAAGGGTTTCCCCTGACTTCCCAGGTTTCAATTTCTCCTCTAGATTTCTGGAAATCTAAGATTTAAACAGGCCACCACAGACTCTGTCCAGCCCCTCCCATCCCAGAGAGATAGAAATCCTAAGACATTAAATCTCAGACAAGGATAAGCCCCCTCTCCTACCCTCTTTGGGCACTTGGGGAAACTGAGGTTCAGTAAAAGACAAACACTTGCCCAGAGTCACAGAGCAAATTAGGTCACAGCCTGAACCAGGCTCCCGACCTCCCAACTCTCTCCCCTATACCACGGTCATCCTTGGACCTGTGCCAGCATCCATTCCACCAGACCTGCTCTCAGAATCTTCACTGTCCAGGACAGAGGGGTCACAGAGCTTGGTAGGAAGCTCCTGATGACCTCACCATGCATTTCTCTCGGCTTAGGAAACTCCCCCTCTCCTCCAGAGAATTGCCCCCCCACCATGAGACTCTGCAGAGGAAGTTCACCTTGAAGGTGATGAACACATCTAAGTCCCCAAGGGGGCAAGGATTTCCACTGGAAATGCTGATGATTGGGGAGTCCCAGATGTGACCTCATCCCCTGGAGGAGGTAACAAACCTCCTGCTCTGGGGAGCAGCCCCAGAATGGCTCCCCAGCAGCCACCAAGTCAACAATAACATCCCATTGTTTAATAGGACAAAAGCGAGGGAGGGCAGAACCAGCTGGGCAGGTTGAGACTGGGGATGTGGGCTCTGTTTCCCCATGGACAGGCTGGTTCACCTCTGACTTTGGGGTTCAGGACCTTCCATGCCTTCTCTACCTCCTCCAACCGCTGATAAAATGGAAGAGGGGTGCACAGCTTACACAGGCATGCCAACCTCCTTTTAAGCCCCAGACCTCACCTGCAATCTACTCCCTTCCAGTCGCTGCTTGCAGGAAGATCAGGACCACACATGCACATCCTTGACTTGCCCATGTGTCAGCGACAGCCCTTGGGAGACAACCCCTAGAGCCTTTCTTGCTCTGGCAAGCTCTAAGGGTCAAAGACAAGTGCGGAGCTCAAGGGCACCCAGCAGGTACATGATAGCCCATCTCTCTCCCTGGCCTGCGCTACACTGTGCCAGACTTTCATCAGGCTGCAGAGGCAGCAACCTCCCTGATCAGTGCAGGCTGGGCCACTCTCAGAGTTCCCTGCTTTAATCTTTCTCTAGAACTTGGGGATCCAAGCAGCAGAAAATAAAGAAATTTCCATACCTATTCCAGTCCCCACAGCTGTCCTGACTTAAAACTAAAATCCCCATCTATGCCTCACAGAGAAATGGCTCCAGAACCACCACCATCCCTGATTTTGTCATTCCTGGATACTACCATACTCGCACCCACCCACTGGTAGACAGAGCTCTAGACTTCCAGAAAGACCCCCTCTTACCCTATTCCTGGGTTTGTCCTACCCAAGCCCATTCCTGTCCGATTACCATGTGTCACCCCACAGGAGACAAGAGGCAGCTGTCAGTCGGGCACACCATCACCAGCTGGTGGCCCTGGGGGTGGGGGGCAGGTGAATGGCAGGGCCTGTCTGGCCAGTGGGGCACCTGGCACTGGTGAAGGAGACCACAGACTGTCCTTGGACAAGACTGGTGAATGGTTGGCAGACCCCAGCCAGTGGGGTTCAACAGTGCATTACTAAGCAGAGGGCACAGCCAGTGTGGCTACAGCAGTGAACTGCGGGTAGGGGAGGTAGCCCATGGAGCTGGGCTGGGAGCTTCGAAAAGTGGGTAAGAGGACTGAAAGCAGCTTTAAATAGCCTCAGGGTGGGAACTAAGTGCCCAGGATGGGATGTATGCATTAAGTGCTAAGAAGCGGGTGTGCATTAAGTGGGGTGGGGGTGGGGGTTCATGGGAAGACTGTGGGACAGGCAAACAGAGCCAAAATGCAAAGGGTTTGATGTAGGGAAAGATTCCAGAACACTCAGACATGCCCATTTGTCCCTTCCAGAGTGCCCACATGCTATGATGTCCAAGACAGCCAAGGGGACTGAGGGAAGGCAAAGCTGCTGTGAGGGCAAACGAAGCTGGGGCTAGAGCTGGGATTGCAGAGTGGTGTGCAGGTCTCCTACATGCACAGGCGGCTAGAGCTCTAGCAGGGCTGCTTGGCTTCCTCCAGGAGCACCTCAGGCTGGGTAGCCGAGTTGGTCCCCAGAACACCTCATTCATAGTCCCTGAACCATCTAAATCCTTCTCCCCTCCCTAACGCAGAACCTGGACTGGTCCTGTGCCAGATCAGAGCCCCTGCCTGCACCTAAGCACCCACACTGCTCAGTGACCTTGGGCAAGTCACATTCCCTCAGCTACTGCGGCAGTTCGGGCCACTCGTTTTCTGTATGTTTTTTTTTTTTCCCCTCTGCTAATAATACCTGCCCCAGATAATGCTCAGACTCCCGCAATCCCTGCAAACTGCCAAAGGCATCAAAAGGCTCCCGGTGGGGCTAGACCCGACCAGTCCCCCCAGTCCCCACTGCGACTCCCCCACCATCACCACAGGGGGGCCGCAGACACGCCAAATTTGGGGACAGAGCCGAGTCGGCCTGGGGGCGGGGAGGCATTTGTGTGCAATGCAGGGGAGGGGAGATCAGTTCCTCACGGCAGAAAGCCTCAAACACCCGCCTAGCCGGCTTTCTGTCCCATAGTACAGGGTTTAAACTGAGGTGCCTTGGGGGAGACTCCGGTCCCCCAGGTTCTTATACCTACCCTGGCCTAAAGGCTGCACCCCCGCCCTAGATCCAGCGCCTGGGGGTCCCAACAGCCGTGCCCCACCCAACGGGCACTGCCCCCCAACGCTGGAGCCGATTTCTGGTGACAACTGCCACGTGCGGGCAAGGGGGGAGCAGCCGGTGCCGGCATTGCGGAGGCAGCGCCCTGGTACCCCAAGCCCCCGCACCACACCATGTCCCGCCGCCTCGCCGCAGGGTGCCCACCCCCTTGCCTGGCCCGAGCTCCAGGCCGGGGCGGGGGCGGGGGCAGGCGGCGGGGTCTTTGTTCCCGCTGCCGAAGCGCGGCGGCGGCGGCAAGGGGTCCGCGCCCCCCTCGCCGGCCCAGCCTGCGCCCCGCGCGCCAGCAGAGCCCGCAGCTCAAGAGGAAGGGACCGGGGTTGGTGTCCCGGGCGGGGCAAGGGTCCTGCGCCGAAGCCCCCGAGCCAGAGAACCCAGACTGGCTCGGGGCCGAGAGAGGGGCCCGCCCCCTCCCCTGGCGCCCGGGCGTTGCGGCTCCCGGCTGCCAGAGACTTGGTGCGACTTGGCCGGGGCTCCGGCCCCGCCGCTCGCTCGCCGCAGCGTTACAGCCGGCTCTGGTGTGCCAGCGCACACACTCACACACACTCACCCAAACCCACACGCTCCACGCGAGGACAGCGCGGGGACAGCCCGGGACCCGCAGAGCCAAGCGCACGCACTCCCTCCGGGTGCAGCATACTCCGCACCCGCCCCGCGCAGCGTCTGATCCCGCGCCCGACCAGCCGCGCGGCACCGCCTACCTTTCCAGACGGCGAAGATGCGGGGTCCGCTCCTTGAGTGGCCTTGGGCGGAGGCGGCGGCCGCCCAGAGCAGCAGCAGCAGCCGCAGCAGGAGCACCGACCGAGCCGGTGGGCCAGGGACGCGGGCGCGCGGTGCGCTGGGGGCGGCACGTCCGGGCGGAGGAGGCGTCATCCCGTGGCCCCGGGAGCGACAGCAGCAATCAGCCGAGACTGAGCCAGCGCCCGGCCGCAGGCAGACCCAAGCGCTAGGAGGCGGAGCCAGCGCTGACCCCACCCCGCCCCTCCCCCCGCCCCTCGCAGCCTTTTCTCGCCTCACTGGCTTTCCTGAGCGAGAGCGGAACCGCTGGGGGAACCTTCGCACCCTCTCCCGGGCAACTCTACGGGGAAAGCCCAGCTGCGGACAAGCCAGACTTGTGGTCTTCTGCCAGGGGCGGCAGGCCCTATCCCCTCTCTGGGCCTCAGTTCCACTCCCTGCACCCCATAAAAAGATTGGCCTAGAAGTCGTGGAGGACCTCTGTCCAAAGGCACAGAGGAGTCCAACACCCAACAACCTTGCTATGGCCAGCTAAGTGGTTCGCACCCTGAGGACTATGGTCCTTGGAGGATGAGTTCGCCTAAGTGGACACGGCTTCCTGCTGAGCCTACCAGCAGGAACAACGATGATATGTGGGGAGCACTCAGGGACCCGCTATTGCTCTGCCTGGGAGAACACTGGAAATTTTTCATCTTGGCCTGGCTCCTTCCCCTCCCTCTCCTTTCTCCTCCCTTCCCCAGCCAGCAGCCTTCTGGGCTGCCTCCCCCCCAGCCAGCTGGTGTACGCTCAGAAAATCCAAACTCATTTCCATGTGAGTGGAGGGGGATATAATTAGGAAGGCCCCTTCCCCAAGTAGAGAGGGGAGCATCCCCCATGCCCAAGACTCACTGTGGGGGAGGGAGGGTGAGAACAGCTTAAGGGGATCTCTGCCCACAAAGTACCTAGGGCTCACCTATCTCAGGCAATCTGACCATTCAGTGGGGACTGCCTTGGGGGTCCAGGCCCAGACCCTCTGCAGTTACCTGAGCAGCTCAGCCAGTTCTGCCATCAGTTCCTCCTCTCAGAACTACGTGCCTGCCCTTTGTAAAAGGGTCTTCTCTCTCTAGACCAGAGACGGCCCAGATCTACCACCTCCACTTGTGCCCCAGGGAACCATGAATGGAAAATCCACCCAGCTCAGTAAGTACTTATCTAGTGTTTACTAAGAAGACAGGATGAGGAAGGAGCAGAGGTGAATATCCAACCTTCAGAACTCACAGACGTAGATATGATTCATGCACTGCAGACACCAGCAAAGGCGGTGGGCTGGCTGCCCTCTGCCCTCTGCCCTCTGCCCTGCTCCATGGGGCCAGGACCATTTGGTTGTTGTTTTTACCCCCTGGAACCAGGGAAGTTTTGCTACCAAGAAGTTTGACTTTACCATTCTACATTTTGCTTCCAGTTGTCCCCTCCCTCTTCCCTGAGAGCCCTGAGGCACCGCAGCAGGCCAGGAAGGTAAACTCAAGGCTGTGGACAGTCTAAGAGCTCCTCCCCAGGCCTGCACCTAAGCCTGTGGCCCTGAAGCCAGCAGTGGAGCCTGGCCCAGGCTAGCCTCTAAGATGGACGTTCGGTTTCATCTGCTAAATAGGTATTGCCCCAGTGTCTCTCCTGTCTATGCAAAGCTAGGGCAAACTAAGAAATCACCTGTCTCTGCCTTTTGGAACTAAGAATTCAAATGGATTCAAAATCAATGATAACATTGCCCATGTGCACAACGACTCACAACACATAACCCATGTTCACCTACATCATCTCTGCCGGTCCTCCACTCTCTTCCTCTCACTGAGGGAAGGAGCATAACTCCATTGCAGAGAAGAAAACTGAGGTACAGGGAGGGACAAGGATGGACCTGCCCAAGGTCAACCAGTAAATGGCAGAACGAAGATGGGTTTTCTGACTGCAGTAACAATTGCTAACACTGTGGTTCCCATGTGCTGTGCCATCTCATAGCCTCATCTGAACTCATTCAATCTTCATACTCCTATGCAGTTGGAGCTGTTAGTCACCTCCCTTTACAAATGAAGAAATCAAGGCACAGACAAGGGATGTGAAGTGCCAGGATCGCACAACTAGAGGCAGGACGGATTGAAACTCAGGTGGTTTCTCAAGGGTCCACACCCTTGAGTTCTCTCTGTGTGATGTACCCTGGCACTGCTGCCTCCTGTCTGTGGCTGAAGTCTGGATCCAAACCATCCCCAGAAGGACCTAGACTGGGCCCAGGTCACCAGGTGCTGGGCAGAAGGGCAGACCAGGGAATGGGCTGAATCTCTCAATCAACAGAGCAGCAGATGGAAACTGGGGTAGATGCCAGATAATTTTTTTTCCAGACTCGGGGGTAGGGGGGAAGGAAGTAGTACTGAAGACCATCCTCCCCACAAGCCAGCCAACCTGGGGACAAAGGGCCAGGCGAGATGGCAGCCCACTCTCTTGGTTGGCTGCAGGCAGCCAGGGGAGGAGAAAACTAAGCCCATGACTTGAGGCAGTAACTTTATAAAGGGAAAGGCAGCTAGACCGTGGGGCAGGCACTATGACCAGAGTTTAGGCATGGGTTTTCCTGCCTCAGGCAGCACAGGAAAATCAAGTCAGAATGGTATAGGTGGTGTCAGGGCCCTGCCTGCCTCACTGAAAGCCAAGGCTGGCTCTTGAGCCTGGACTGAGAACAAGGGCACAATCCCTACTCACAGCCAGTGATGGGAAGTGGACCAGCAGAGGAAGCAACAG